CTGATTTTAATTGCCAAAAGCTTGCTTATGTGTGATTACGTATTCTCAGGTAGGTGTAGACTTTTGGCCTATGACGAAAAAATTGCGCAGGTCCTTTAATTATTAGATCGGCTGGCGACATCGTTTATATTCGGAGTATCTACGAATGGTTCCAATAAAATTCTCAATACCATTTTCAATCAAAACTTCGGTATATATAAATATTACTTCTATAATATATACGTACCAAACTCCAATATATATTTTTATATATTATAATATATATACGTTTTACGTACCGATAACCAAAATAGCTGTACCTAAAATCTGGTTTACCAGAAACCAACGTCTTCGTTGACCATTTTTCTTTGTATCCGATGAATAAAACCCAGACTCATTATAGCTGTCCGATTAATACTTGAGCGGTTTACAACTATCTCCAGTCAAAATCATTTTCTTGCATGTGAGGTTATCGAAATAATATTTTTTTTTGTCTTTCTCATTATTACCACACATTGATTACTCTAAAACCAATCAGATAAACTCGCAAAATATATATTTGCGTTTCCTCGATATAGTAACTACATAAACTATACGTCTAACATTATTAGTTCGCAAAATACATGTTCATACTGTTTAAGAACATAGTGTTGTTTTGGTACTTTTAGTATTTAAGTTGTTTTTCTTCATTAATTTTTTTTTTCCGTTTTGCCTTTACGTTTATAATTTAGAATAAAATTCAATATTCAACTATTATAAGTTTCCTAAGAACGTCGTCAAGTATCACCACAAATGTAAATGCATATACACGGGAAAAGAAATTAGATTCCTAATCAATACGATAGAATCACTAACTAATCGTAAATATAGTTGTGGTTTCGACCCTAGTCTTACGAATATATAGCATTACTTGTTCTTAAACTAGAGATACCATATATCATCTACCTCATGCCAATCTCCATAAATTTAAAATGTGTAGTAACCAGTTAATCCAGCTAAAAAAAAAAATTTAGCTAAAATTCAAATCGTGATAAATCCATATATACGCCTCAAATTCTCTTTTAAAATCGGTCAAAAAAATCAGGAGGAAATTAAAGAAGAAAAAAATGATTGTCTATGATTGATATATAACATAAAAAAAGTATTTTACGATCCTCAAGGTTTTATTCATTTAGCTCTCCACGATCGTCTCCAATCCAGGCCTCCAAGTTCCATATTTCGATTCGTATAGCACCTTATCGTCTAGGGTTTCTCTTATTTCAACACCATCATGATCATGATGATCATCATCATTAACCGATGATGGTGAGCTTCTTCTTCTGTCTCCAGTCACTGGAAACATGCAAACCGGAAATATTCTCTTCAAATGATTATACCGACTTTCGTTGAGAATCTCTGCCGCTTTTTCCGAGATGAGAGCGAGTTCTTCGTGTGTTAAGACAGAGAAGAGCATGTCTATCGGGAGGAGGAGGTAGAGATGTCTTCTCGGTCTCAAAAACTCATCGGGAGATACGGCGGTGACTCGGTGGCCGATTTGAAGCAAAGTTGAGTCGGTGATAAAGTGGCTGGAATGTTGAGAGACGATGTCGGAGGTTTTGATGGGTTTTGAGAAGATGTCGAGAGTTCCGGTGAAAGGAGCTAAGATTTTGACTGCTCCTGATGATGAGTTTGATGATATAATCAATGGTGCGCATGAAGATGTGTTTCCCATTATTGTGATCAAAATAGAAGAACAAGAAAAGAGACAGAGAGAGATCAGAGAGAAAGAAGTTTCGTAGAACTGTGCTGGCTTTTATAATTATGTATATATATATATAGTTGTATTAGTTTATGAATTAAGCGAAGATTAAGTATTTATTAATCTTTTAGCTGGTTGTGTACAACTGTGTATCTTCTTTCTCTCCGTTTTATAGTTGTCGCTTCTTAACTTTATTGTGGACTTTATCTGGTAGATATAATTCGAGTAATTAAATTACAAAAAGTAAGGTTTACGTTTCAAATTTCAACAATATTATTCATTATATTCACATATATGTGGTCGCTACTTAATTAATTGTCATATAATCAAGTCAAACTCGATAATTAATCGGATTCAGCCCTTATATGTAAGACCACCTTAATTGTTTATTTTTAGTTCTACCAAACACTAAAAGTTACTAAAATACAACGTGTATTTATTAATTAGTGACTTTCTGTTGTGACAGTCAGTTAGAACTAAATATTCTTGTTTAGCAAAACAGCATGAATCAAGGCGGTAAGACAAAGCAGAAATAACAAAGATATGATTTTTACGGTTTTCGACCGTCTAACAAATCAAGTATAGACTGTTTAATTGGTAAACAAATATAATTTTAAATTTTTGCTTATTATATATGATGTGATTATGAGTAATTATCTTGCTTTTTTTTTCAAACGGGTAATTGTATTGAAACCCTCTATCAAATGAATGTACAATGTATACTTAAACAGTCAAAATATCACAAAATCAAAATTATGACTTAACTCTTGCTACTGGTTGTTATTGTTTTCATCTACACTAGGTATATATTTGTACTATTTTGAGAAATCATCCGATTAAAGATAGGAAGAAACCGTTTTTGAACCCATGCACAGCATTATTAAAGTTTAGTTACATGGAAAATAACTCAGATCGATTGCTCACTAATCCACTCAAATTACTGCACACAGTATACTAGCTAGCTAGTAAGCGTAATATAATTAATAGACATCGCCTGATTACTTTCTGGTTTTACACCAACAAATATGCTGTGATTTGTGAAATATATATAAAAAAGGAGAGATGAATATAAATATAGAATTAGTTGATTAATACGATAGAGTAGATAGAAGAAAAAGCACATGGATGATCGGACACATGGATGATCGGATGGGTGTGATTGAGGATATGGGTGTGATTGTGAAGAGGTGTGAGATTGGGCTGAGCTCGAGTCACGACGCTACCAAACTCATCATTAGACATGGCTTCTCCCTCCGTTTTGTTTTTGGTTTTTCTTTTTTCCCCTTTTTAATATCAAATTGAGTTCATCTGTCTTTCCAAATTCCAAAAGCCAAAAACAAAGATTACATAGGTCGGTACCATGAAACGAAGTAATGAATCATATAATATGTATATATATATAATATCTACAGCTCATCAGCTGTCTGGATACATCTTACATGTATAATTGTTTATTTGTTAGTTGCCACATTTATATATATATATATATATATGATATTTAATATACGTTTTATAATTGTAAAACTTTGAGTGTCATAAAAATGCATGCCATATGTGATCATGTAATACGTAGATTTGATTGCTTCAGATGCAGAGAGATAAATTCATGTTACTTCATATATATTACTTTACCAATAAAATTCTACATATTTAGATCAAGATTTCTTTATATCTGAAAGTAGTTTAGCCTGGTTGAATACTAATTGTTGGTGTTGGATTTAACCAAATCCGGCCCACGATTTAAACCAATCATCACACATGCGTCTATGGACTTTAAGGCCCACAAACTTAACCAAAAGAGGATCTCGCAAGGATATTCGGTAGGATGCAGCAAGCTACGAAGATAAGGAAGAGTGGATAAGAGAAGATCCAGAAGATCTCGGAAAGGAGGAGATCGAGTCATCCCGGAGATCTCGTAGTAGTTCGCAACGACTTACCTAGTATAAATAGTACATTGTTTCTATGTAAAAGATCATCTAATTTTCAGCTAGAAACTCACTTGTAAACTCATTATATTATCAATAAAAATCCAATTTGTCGAGCTTTGTCTTTTATTTTATATCGATCTTTGCCAGAATTCTTGCCCATCATTTTCTTCACTAAACCAAACACTAAATCTCTGAGTGTGGATTTTAGGATCCACACTAATGTTCTTTGTGAGCGGTGGATTGCTCCCGATCCTTGTTTTGTTTGGAATGCTTGTAAGCAAATTTTTTATGAATACAAGTATCATTCAGTTAAAAAAAAAAGAAATTTAGATCGATAATTAATATTTTCTGTATGAATGCTTTGTAGCTGTTTAAGAAAACTACATATACGCAATTTAATTAGTAGCAATGATTATAGGCTTTATAAACGTAAAAATTGTTGTTGAACACTATTAACTTTATTTGCCTTCGTTTGGTACAAATCCTGTTTATGTGGCTGTCGGATATCACACTGTTCTAATTATGAGATTGTATTTGTAAAGTGCCCTGGACTTTGGACTCTACTTGTTTTGTTGTTTCTTGCTCATTTTTAAAAATGATTATCGTTTCAATCTCGCAATTACAATAAATTAAATCGAACCCATTTGCTGAACTGTCAAAAGATTTATAAAATCAATAATCTTAAAATACAGATTCACAAACACTTGGATAGCATCAAGTAAACACATGCATTAGTTAAACATAAAAGTGAAAAGGGGATCTCAATTAGCTATCGCCAAAATACTTTAAACAAGGAATACTTTTTAATTACATTATCTGGGAGTTGCAATATTGCCAACATCTTGACGAGAGATAAAAAGCTAGCTTCCAAAAACGTTAGCTATAAAACTCCAACGAGGTACATCTACTTTAAACTCTTGAGTCTTGACTCAATTATACGTCTATTAATGATAAACCATAATTTGGAAATTTAACAGTTTGAACATATAAGATAGTATCACAATTCATATTGAGTTGCGGCGCGCGATGTACATGTTTGTGATTTGTATGTAGACAATACTTAGATGATTAGCTAAATGGTTTCCATCGAGCTCGTTTTTTCCCCTAATTAATTCGAATTTAGAAAACACAAAATAAAATAAAATAAACTTAAAAAAACCATAATGAGACAATTTTTAAAATTTTGGGCATCTAGTTAGAGAAAATGTTGGCAAAGAGCTGTTGGAAATTATGAATATTATTAGAATTTTCTCAGTACATATTGATAATCAGTTACCGAACATATTCTGATTAATTTCCAACATGATAAACCTACCTAATAAAGAATAAAGACATAATAGTAATAGAGTGGTAGATCAGAAGAAGATAGTTGCCAATGCCACGAAAGCAGATGCGAAGCTAAGTCCGGCGAAGTTGATGGTCGGAGCCGAGTTTGTTGGTTTGGCCGTCGAAGAATTAGCTGAATCTCCGGTGGAACCGCTTCCTGTTCATTCATTTTTTAAAACAAAATTAAATACTCCACAGCTGTTACTTTTCAATTATTCTTTTAATTGGTAAATCCGTCGATTGTATTTGTTATTTTCTCATGCTTTAAAATAGTCAATGCATATAACTTTTACCCATAAAAAAAATTCCCTAAAAGGCTAAAACCATGACAATTAGATTTTAAATTTCGACATTTGAATTCATACCTGTAGAAGATGCCGGAGGAGTTTTTGGAGTTGCCGGCGGCGTCATCGGCGAAGTAGTACCTTCGTAAAAAAAAATAATTAAAAGCTTAATTAGAACTGCATCATAATTAGGCTAAATAAGAAATCTGAAACAGCGTCTCATATTTAATTAACAACTCACCGGTGCTGCTGGCTTTGCATTGTGACACGTCAGCGTTGGCGCCACAAGCTTTAGGGAGAACAAGAGCGTTTTCTTTAGTGAGGTTAAGCGATTTAAGCATATCGACGTTGTTGAAGACGGAGCAAAGACACGTCACGTCGGTCTCTACGATCTCCTTCAACGGCATGCAACACGTCGGCGGCGGCGGCGGTGTCGCCGAGTGAAGATACGGCTGACACGGCATTAGTTTCTGTATACACGGCATTGAGTGCGCATCTGCTCCTCCTCCTCCTCCTCCTCCTCCGCTCGGCGGTGTAGTTGCGGCGTTAGACGACGAGACGTAGCAAAACACCAAAACGACGGCGACGGCGAATCTAGCAATCTCCATTTTAAGAACTTTGTAAACTTTGTTGTTTAATTGAAACGGTTTCTTTAGTTTGATCCTCTTTTGAACGTTGTGTGAATTTGTAATACGTACATCTCCTACGTATATATACGCACGGTGGTTACAAATTTGTTATTTGAATTTTATCGATTACCTGCCTGATTTTTCGAGAAACGGTTACTTAAATCTGTTCTGATCCGATCATTACGTATCGGATCGAAGACTAAGCTCTGGATTTAGTGACATGTTAATAATTAAGTTAATCCAAATTAAATATCGTCACAAGAGTAGCCGATTGTAAGAATTTAGGTGATGGCTAATATAGAAAGTGACCTGTAACCTTAAATGGAGAAATAGGAAAAGATTGTCATTACATCATAACAGATCTTGTAGTTTACTTTTCACCCATATCTTTCTCGAATCTCACCTAGCTAATATCCAAAAGCTTTTTAAGCTTTTTTTTTTTTAACGTATCTGGCTAACTTATTTGGCAAAATGTAACCTTTTGTAGAAAATAAAGTATATCAATCAAAATTAAAAAAAATTTGATTGATATACTTTTTTTTTCTACAAAAGGTTACATTTGCCAGATAAGTTAGCCAGATACTGTTAAAATAAAAAGCTTTTGGATATGGCTCTTTCCACGTAGGAGTCTACGATGTAACGTAACCCTCTTTGTAGTGCGCTTATAGGAATTAATAATCTAAAATAGTATAATGTACGCATATACTTTATGATATATATATATATATATATATATATATATATAGATTACAGAGAGACATGCGTATGAAATTGGTTCGCTGACTACTTGATATATATTTTCATCGGTAAAATCGTAGTTTCGACAGAGAAAATGGGAGTTGATGGTGGCGTCGTTGGGTTTGTTGGTTTGGATTCTTTCAGCTTCGAATTAGCTTCTTCGCTTCTTCGTTCTGGGTTTAAGGTTCAAGCATTCGAGGTCAGTTGCTTCTTCTTCTTCTTCTACTCTATGTTTGGATCGGAAATATATGTCTTCGTTCTGGAAGATCAGGTTGATCGGGTTTTTAAATAACTGTGAAATCGATTTCTGGATTCTGAAGAATTTCGAAATTCTTAGTCTATCTCGGAGGATTTCAGCTGTTTTACACGTTTATATCCATTCTCACTACCACAAAGTGTTGAATTCGACTGAAATGAGTTTATTAGTAGTAGGTTCTCTTTGAGGGACTGGGAACGTTTGTGATTATTGCTTTGTCTGGAAAGTTACTAAGAATAGTTGTTTCTTCAGCTTTAATTTGATTTGGCTTTTGAAAAAAAAATAAGGATGGAAGCTGAACCGTTGTATCTATATTCCACAGATAAGTACAGGATTGGTGGAGAAGTTCACTGAATTGGGAGGATACAAATCTGATAGCCCTGCAGATGTCGGGAAAGGTAGCAGATTGAGTCTATGTGTTATTTAAGGACTTTAGAAACACTTAGATACAAACAAGTTCAGGTTTCAAGGGAAAAATGCACATCTTGTTTACGATCTATCGAGTTTTTGGCATCCAGTGCTAGCCTCTGTACATGAAAACCGTTTGGTTGTGTTTCTGTTGCTACCTCGTTTCATGCCTCTGTTTACTTTTGATACTGTCTTGTGTCCTGTTATTTACTTTGCTGCCTACTTCTAACTTTCTTTCCCTTCTCTCACCCTCTTCTGTCTTTCTTCCTAACTAAGCAGGTGCAGCAGCCGTGGTGGTTTTACTATCCCACCCTGACCAGATACAAGATGTTATTTTTGGCGATGAGGGTGTTATGAAAGGTTATCTCGAAGACTCTTTACCTCAATATTGATGAACTTCCTCTCAGGATTATTGTGTAGGAGACTGTATGCGTCATTTCTTTTTCAGGTCTACAGAAGGGCGCTGTCTTGCTTTTGTCTTCGACGATATCGCCTTTGCACCTCCAGAAGCTAGAGAAACAACTTACAGGTTGCAATTTGTTACTTTGAGGAGTGGTTTACCTTTCATCTCCGTATTTTGAAGTTTGCGCTTTTCAGTCCTGAACTGAAAAATGGGATTCGTTTTCAATGCAGAGGACAGAGAGCAGATTTTTGTTGTCGATGCCTATGTTTTAAAAAGAATGTCTGAGCTTCTTGATGGAAAACTAATGGTATATACTCTCCTCTTTTGCTAAGTCTGTTTTGTCGGTAGAATACCACTGAGCTCGTTGATCTCCATTCATTGTTTAAAGTGATATGTCAATGTGTCATTGTACTTGTAGTAACCCGTTTCATTTTGACTTATAAGATAATAGCATCTGGAAGGTCAGATTCGATCACAAGAGCACAACCCTATCTTAACGGTAAATGTTAACACAAAGTTTATAGACCCTCTCAAGATCTATAATTTCTGAGAATTAATTCTATTACTGAGTCAATCTCTTTGTTTCATAAAGCAATGTGTCAAAAGGTTTACACCTTTGAGGGAGAAATTGGTGCTGGAAGGTATGTAACTTTCCAGGTGATAATTAACTTTCTCATAATCACTATAATTTCCAATAGTTTGACTGCCTATTCTTCGCCACGAGTCATATCAATCATATGCTTGAAACAAAACCTTTGATGGTTCTAAATTTTCCCCTGCATTATAGAAAACCCATTGATCTCGTTGTTTTTTTTTTGTTTTTTTTTTCTGAACCAGTAAAGTTAAAATGGTGAATGAGCTGCTTGAGGGCATTCATCTTGTTGCTGCTGTGGAAGCTATATCTTTAGGTTCTCAGGCGGGTGTGCATCCGTGGATACTGTATGACATCATTTCCAATGCTGCTGGAAATTCATGGTATGCTTTATGCTACAAGGACTTTCCTTTCGTTATGAGTGATAAAAATGTCTTCTAGTACCGAATTGGAAGATTTTTGATAGTAGGATTGCTTCGAATCATAGGGTTGTCCACATTTTATGTAGTAGTAGATCTTTCATATACACTCATTTTATGTAGTAATAGTCTATTCTCAAAGTTTCGAGAATAGACTATTGCAGGTAAACTGTAACTATAACATCGTTTCCTGTTCACCAATTCCAACTGGAGACAAAACTATTTTTTTTAGAGCTCCTCATTTAGGCCAATTGAAGACTTCCCTGAAGGTTTATGGCAAAATATTTTGACCATGGCTGTTACAGAATTAATTTTTCTTGCTTTTCAGGATTTACAAGAATCATATACCGTTGTTGCTGAAAGGTGATATAGAGGGTCGCTTCCTCGATGTTCTCTCTCAGAATCTGGTATGACATAGCAACTTGAAAGTAATATTTTATCGTTGTCTTTCTTTCGATTCAAAGGAAAATAGCGAAAGGAGAAAAAACAAAACTTAGCTCCAATCAATGGGTCATTTTATTTATTCACTGTGACTAAGTCTTGATGTTTAGCATATGTAACTAATGAAATGCTTAACTGAATTTTCGATGGCAAGGGCATTGTTGAAGATAAAGCCAAATCGCTTCCATTTCCTGTCCCACTTTTGGCAGTTGCACGTCAACAATTAATCCTCGGTATATATCAATATTATTATATGTCCGGCACAACGATAACGACCTCTTTCCACTTATTTAATTCTATGCACAACTTCCCCTTCTCCAGGAATGTCACAGATGCAGGGAGATAATACAGCTACTTCGTTGGCTAAGGTCCTCAATAGAGTTCTTCTCATCTTTTTCTAGTGCTTTCGAAACTTGTGACAAATTTAACTGAATGGAAAACCACTGTCATAGACCATGTACATTACACATGCCTTTCTAATGAAAGGTTCTCAAAATGATTGGGCAGATCTGGGAAAAAGTACTTGGAGTTGGCATATTAGAAGCAGCCAATAGAGAACTTTACAAGCCAGAGGATTTGGCCAAAGAAATTGTTACCCAGGCAAAGCCTGTGAATAGAATTGGTTTTATTGGTCTGGGAGCAATGGGTTTTGGTATGGCAGCGCACCTGTTGAAATCAAATTTTTCTGTCCGTGGTTATGACGTAAGCTTTTGATCAACTCTTCACTGTGAATTCTCTTGGGAGTCTATGGTATACATGTTCAGAATGATTGTGTTAGTTGGTTTTAATTGGTTATATGAGTCGATGGTATATATACATGTTTATTCTTCTAGTAGTTTCCTAGTTTATAGAGGCACCCGGTTTGCCTCATTATAAACTTTTGGCTGTAATGCATTCATAGATTTCTTACTTTTTGGCTTTTAGGTCGGTTAAGGTTATGTTTTGGTACCTTGTTCATATAATTTTTAAATGAAATGTTTGATACCGATCTGAATTGCAGGTATACAAGCCAACGCTTGTCAGATTTGAGAGTGCCGGGGGATTGGCGGCAAATTCTCCAGCTGATGTGACGAAAGGTAGCCCTAAAAATCAAGACAAGTGGTTAGATTACAGTATAAATGTGCCGTGTAGCTCTCAACACTTATGAGATGAACATCCTGCTTTATTCCTTGAATCCAGTCATTTTCCCCAGATGTAATTCTTGTTATTTGTATCTGCTCCTACAGATGTAGATGTTCTTGTAATTATGGTAACAAACGAGGTTCAGGCTGAGGATGTCCTGTATGGACATCTTGGAGCTGTTGAAGGTATATATTTATAATACTAGCTTTTAGTATTTGAGGTCAGAGCTGATATTCCTATTCTTTCACAATATTTCAGCTATTCCATCTGGAGCAACTATTGTACTTGCGTCAACAGTCTCTCCTGCATTTGTTAGCCAACTTGAAAGGCGTCTAGAGAGTAAGTGTTTTCCGTCATCAGCTACAACCATGCATGTTCCACAATTGTGGATGATTTTATGCTCCGATGATCAATTTTTACTTCCAACATGACCGTTCAGTGTCATTTGATTGAGTTCTATAATTTATTCTTTTATTTGGCAATCTTTCAGATGAGGGAAAGAACCTAAAGCTGGTAGATGCTCCTGTTTCTGGTGGTGTTAAGAGGGCTGCCATGGGGGAACTAACGGTATGAAGTCTAGAACCTATCTACTGTGTCTCTAATGAAGCTGAAGTTAATCAAGTATATTTTTTTTTTCAGATAATGGCTTCAGGTGCCGATGAAGCGC